CTGTTTGTTTTCCTGTCACTCTTTTTTGTTCAGGCATATCTATGCTTATAAGATGACACTCAACACACAGAAAGAGGGAAAGGAACCACTGAGGAGAAGAGCGAGTACTCCCATCCCCTCAAAGATCAATGTGGTGCTATCATATTTGTAAAGATGAAATGTCCACTGGCCTCCTAGGCAGTTGAGGACACTCTTCTCTGTAGGGCATGTCTGGATTATATTTTAGATTTGGTCTTAACATTTAGATGTTAGCTGACATGAAGCATTGAAGTTGATTAAGAACACTGTTATTCTTTATCGTGAATTCACATGTTTCATGGCCAAGTTTGTCCTTAAGTGCTATATATCTTGTAGAGGTCTCGAAAAGTGACATAGAGTAAATGTGGAAACTGTGGAAAAATGAGACAAGGTCAGTATCAACCTAGACTGGAGCAAAGTGTGTTTTAACTTCTTGTCAAACTAGCTACGCGATCAGTTTATCAGACACGGCTCGGTGATCTTTCCACTCTTCCACTTCACATGCATTTTTCACGCTTGTTATAGTAATAAAGCACTGTTCAAATGTATCACAGATTAAAAGCAGCAAAAATGTTGTTTTTTAACAGTTTGGTCAATTCCTGATAAAGTAAATATCTTAAATATTGCTTTTTAAAGTAAAACATTACTTTAAAAAGCAATAATATAATTTCCTAATACATTGTGCACACACTTAAATCTATAATTTCCAAGAAAATGTTTATATATTTTTAAAAAAAAAGTGTTTCAAGGTAAAAGGTATGTTTTTGGGAAGTCTCATCAGGGGTAATTTATGTTGTTGTTTTTTTTGTTTTTAATGTAATATTTTTTTCTGCTTGTTGGTTGGGTCACGTGTCTTTGATTTGTTGACAAAAGTTTTATTTATTAATATGCATTTAAATACTTTTATAGCTAAAAACACACATTTAAAATAGTAGATTATGCCAAATTACTTGAAGTTAAAGTTTTCTTTTTAAGAATTTTATAATAAGTCTATTTCTTTATTATTAAATCTTCATTGTGACTTTGTCTGCCACAAAATAAATAAAATGTATTTAATTGTTAATGTTAATGCAGAAATTAAAAACATGAGTAATATAGAATAGATTAGCTTAAGTTTAATTGATTTAAGTATTTTGAGTAAATTAATAGATAGGACAAAAAATGGGTGTCAGTGTCATTGACCTAGTTGTTTGTAGCATCTATCCTTACATGGCAATGCTGTTTTGGATGTCAGATTGATGTCATTGATGTTTTGTGCCCAATCAACTGAAAGTAGTGTGCATGTTTCTATAGAGGATACATATGAGAGAACCCTCACGGTCGATGGGGAGGAGACGACCCTAGTTGTGATGGACACATGGGAAACAGAAAAACAGGTATGCAAACATTATACATTAATGTCTCAACATATTCGCCTACCTATTCAACCTACTCGTTGAATTACCGAATGTAAATAAAGGAAAATCTGAAGGCATGTGGTCTGTCTGCCAGCCACGAGTCTGTGCTTTGCCAACACAAGTCTCACCTACAGGGCCACAATGCCCTTTGTGCAGTGCTGTGGAAAAAACGTAGCCACTTGCTGCCAGTGGCTAAACTCCATTGAGCGATGCCCTGCAGTGAGCAAGCATGCAACATACAGCTGGCCCCTGCTGCTGACCAAACGGCCAAGTACACTGATCACTCTGGGGCCTAATTACAGCGCTATCGATGACTCTCCTCTGTGAGGTCAGACTGGCAACAAGGCTTTCCTGGTCTCAAGAATTGTTTACAGAGATAAATTATTCAGTACTTACAGATTACAGGTGGTACGTATACAGGGTCTTACAATGCACAACTTTTTTCGTGACACACAGCTTTCGGTTGTTTGTTGTTCATCTCTCAGTACGTGCACAATTGTTTAAAGGGATAGTTCGTCCCAAAACAAAAATCTGTCATTATTTAGTCACCCTCATGTCGTTCCAAACCTCTTTGACTTGCTTTCTTCTGTAAAATTTTTTAAGAACATCCTGGCCATTTTTTCCTTATATAAGGAATGAGGACTACAAAATGACAACAAAAAGCAACATGAAAGTATAATACGAGTGCCCTGACTATTCAAAAAATTAAAAAATAATCTCTTATGCTCACCAAGGCTGCATTTATTTGATTAAAATTACAGTAAAAACAGTAATATTGTGAAATATTATTACAATTTTAAGTAATTGTCTTCTATTGTAATATATTTTCAAAAATTTAAAATGTATTCCTGTGATGCAAAGCTACATTTTCAGCATCCGGTCCTCCAGTGTCACATGATCCTGCAGAAATCATTCTAATCTGCTGATTTGGTGCTAAAGAAGGGTATTATTATCATAAGAAGTTCTTATATTCATTGAAAAAGTTGTGCAGCTTTTTTGGAGGGGGGGGGCATATATGAACGTTTATAACATTATAAAAGTCTTTACTGTTGTTTTCGATCAATTTAATGCATCCTTGCTGAACAAAAGCATTTTAATAAAGTACTGACCCCAAACCTTTAGCATTGTTACTACATCGTTTACTACATTTACTCATTTACTACATCGTTAGTGTAGAAAATATGACGTGAGTATGGACTACTATTATGATACTTTTGTTTTTGAAGCTTGAAAACCTTGTGATTGTTTTGAAAAAAAAAAAGAATAATTTCTTCAGTAAAAATATCTTGTGTTTGTCACTTATTCGTGTTCCATTTAAAGAAAGAAAGTTCAGGGTTTTTTTAACTACATTTTAAAAGGTTGAGGTTGAGTAAACAATTAACTTACATTTTTTGTAAAGTATTCCTTTAAAATGTTTAACTACTTTTTTTACAAATGCAAATCTTTAGAGGATGTTTGTTGTATGGGTCATACATAAGGTCAAATATATTCCAAACCTATAGGCAATGCAACTGAAAACCATAATGCCTCATTGATTGCATGGTGCTATTTGTATTCTTAACATCTTCAGCTATAATACAAAAAGCCAGCCCTCAAAATGACCAAGAATGCCACTGAAAAGACGTCAAGGTCAAGTTTGTGGATGGTGGCTTTCCCAGATGCCGATTAAACCTCATGTATAAAGTTACACTGTCAGTTGAGGGTCACCAATGAAAAGTTTACTCCTAGACTAGATTTGATTTGTGTCCATCTTCCCAAAGCAATTTCTCCAACTGCAAAACTGCTGTTGTTGTTGTTTTTGTTTTTTTGACACCAACCTCAGGCATAGTTCACCCAAAAAATTAAATTGTCATAATTTATTCAGCCTAATGTTCCGGACCTGAGTTGCATTTTCTTCTTTCTGCTGAACACAAATATGATTTTTTTTAATAACTCGAAAAATTTATAATTATAATAACTTTTTGGTTCCACAATGAACGTCAGCTGGGGTCTAGTGTTGCTTTACTCCACTGACTTTCATTGTGTGTCCAAAAACATTTTTCAAAATATCTTCTTTTGTGTTCCACAGAAGAATAAAATTCAGGTTTGGAACAACAATAAAGGTAAGTACATGATGATGGAATTTCTATTTTTTTACCCAGAAAAACATGAAAATTACCTGAAAACGTACTGACCCTCAGGCTATCAAAGATGTAGATTAGTTTGTTTCTTCAGATTTGGAGAAATTTAGCATTACATTACTTGCTCACCAGTGGATCCTCTGCAGTGAATGGGTGCCATCAGAATCCGAACAACTGATAAAAACATCACAATAATGCAGCTTTTCACCTGAAAATATGTTATGTATGATGGACTGGAGTCGTGTGTTGATTGTTGGGATATTTTTATCAGCTGTTTGGACTCATTCTGACGGCACCCATTCACTCCAGATGATCCATTGGTTAGAGATGAAGTGATGTAATGCTAAAATCTGTTCCGATGAAGAAACAAACTCATCTTTACCTTGAATGGCCTGAAGATGAGAACATTTTAAGCATATTTTAATTTTTGGGGAACTGTTCCTTTAACAACCAATGGATATAGTTGCAACAGTTGCTCCCATGTCCATGTGCTTGAGTATTTATCCGTATAGAGAGGACATGCGCTAGGGAAACCACTGTCAAGCACCAAGAAAAGAAGCAGGAGGCCAGAACTGCAATTAGGCCAGCCAGTGTGCTGCGCCTGGGTCAGCTCTTTCCACTGGCCCCCTTGTCACCACTGGAGTGGGGGAGGGGAAGTGGTGTTCTGGCTGGGAGCTCAGTGCATTGATTTGGTCAGGGTAATGGAAAGAATGCTTCACTCCACACTCAACCTTTCCCCCAGCTGATACAGCCTGCACACATGTACATGAAGATCGCATGCAAATAAACAGCTTTTATTGTCTTTCTGTACATTTAATAGGATTTTTCCCCCGTATGGTCATGCACATATAGTTAACATTTGAAAAATGTTGAAACTACCCAACATATGGTGCCGTCTTCAGTTCAGATGTACCGTTCTCTAAACTGCTTTGAACTATGATTCATCTTCCAAGCTGTTTTACAAAGTAACAATTAACTTCTGCGCATACCCAGCAGGTATTTTTGTAGTGGAAAAACATGCAAGGCTGTTTCTTCCTTTCATAACAAGTGGAAGTTTTCTCCAAATACCAAAAAATAACTGTGCATTAAGCATCTGACATGAGATTAAAGGGAGTGCATTCACCAGAGCCATGCAGTAAAAACTAGCACAACAGGGAAAGAGAGAGAGGGGGAGTGCAGAATGGAAAAAGTGAATAAGACGAAGGAGGTGGCCGTGCATACAAGAAGACAAATGGTCCTGCACTGGTCGTACTGACTGGTTCTTGTAACGTGTCAAGAATCTGGCATCCTCCAGAGTTAAAACCACCTTAACCATCTGACTATCACTCAAACCGCACCAGTCAGTTAGGTTGCCAACCGTCAATAAACACCAAAAAAGAAGAAGAAGAAGAATGGTGTGTCAATTGTGCGTGTCACACTTCTGTTGTCAGTGTGTGGGACACGAGTGCCCTCTGGTGGACGGTTTCGCGCGTTGCTCTTATGCAACAATAACGGCACGTGCACGCGTCGCGCAATGGCTGTTTGCTGCCAGTTATCTTGTCGTTTGTAGCCGCAACACGCGCCTTGTGGTCAGTAATAGTTTAAACGACCAAGTTGTGGCTTAATACAATTGTGTTTTTTAGGTTTGTGTGGATTCGAATTAATCTACTGGGGTTGCAGCGGCAGCTGAAGTGGACAGTAGACCCGGGTTTTACCGCTCGTTTGTGGAGTCGGGATTGTAAAGCTTTGTAGGCCGCGGTGTCTGAGGTAAGACGGAAAGGCTAATGGCTATTTACTGACCAATATCAACTTATTATGTATCATACGAGAATCATATTGATATTAAATGTATTAAATTCTTGCATTTACGACGTTTAAGGTGGATTTGTTTTAGCTAGTTTGCAAAGACGAAGCGACTTTAGCCAGTGCTAACAAAGCAAGCTATAAGATTCTTTACTGATAATACGAAAGGTGTCGACTTATAACATCCAAATCTACCTATAAGTCTGTGATATGTGCTTATGTTGTCTAGAGCTGTTCAAAATATGATCTATAAAAAGATGGTTCGCGATAGTGTGTGAGAAAATCAGTTAGCCAGGAAGCTAACGTGCTTAAACGTGCGTTTCATGACCCCGTCCAGTCATTTCATAGTCATCCATGTCCGCAAGGCAGAAATGTACAGTCCGAGTTTATTATTTTGGGACACAGTTCAGACGAATATATGTCTTGTAATTTCAGAATAAGGTTTGTGTACTTGGGTTAAACGTTAAATGTCCCTTAATATACCGCTTTCCTCGTCTGCAGATCAACAACAACAACAACAACATGGCCGATGATTTGGACATTGAAGCAATGCTGGAGGCTCCATATAAAAAGGTGGGCGTTTATGCAAATAAATGAACTCGGTCAGGAATCTGTATAGCTTTCATTTGAAACGCGTAACCAGTCGTGTTTTCTCTAAGTCTTTATCAGATCAATAACTTGAATGTTTCTGTCATAGTGGTTTCAATGAATAAATTGCCCATCTATCTCTTTTTGTAGACTTGCCTATATCTCACCTCTACTCCCATGAATTCCAGTGTGAACTGTCAAAAAAATGAAGGTAGTAATTGCCCAATATATTGATGTACTGTGGTACCCTTGGTTGAAATACATAGGCAAAATTATACATAGGTACCGCCAGAATTAATGCAGTGGGTGCACATAAGAGCTGGTATAAACTCTGTGGAGACTGTATTCATGTTATTGTATGCATGGTATTCTTAGCTTCATATTTTTTATTATCAGGAAGTTTACTTTCTAAATAGCTAGAACTAGATTGCATGTTTTACAGTATAAATAAATTGCAGGAAACTACTTAATGTCCCCAGTGCAGAAATCCTGGAGTTGACACAAGAAAATCCACAGTCTCTTTATTCTCCATTCATCACTTTGAAAATAATCTGAAATATACTGTAAATGTCATCTCTTTTGGTGAAAAAGTATTTATGCATGCTACTGACATTTAAAAGTATTTATAAATGGTTATTCTGCCGTTTTACAAACTGGAAATGATGGGGCTCAGCATAAAATGTCATAACATTCACTGTAAGATATATTTATCTTATAAACAATCTAGCCTTTTAACAACTACAAAAGAACAACTCAACTTTAGATGGTCTGTGGGAGTCGCTATTACTAAGCCGTGTGAATCCCTGTTTGCTTCAGGGCGAGATGTGTGACTGAGGTGGCATCGAGCTCTTTCAATCCACGAAGGCAAATGGGGTGAAGATCACTGGAATGGCATCCACCACTGGAGCTCGTTTAGTGGCTGGCTGCTAGCGTTGCCACTTTGGGTCTTAGGCTCAGATAGCCTTGGTACTGAACATGTTGGGCTGCTTACTGAATGAATGAAGTGTCTAAAAAAAGCAATGCTATTTTACATATCCAGCATAGCACTAGCACTTGAATTTTTGGCCGTCTTACTCAAGTAATGCAAGCACTAGTAAGGAAGAGCGACATTGGCAGCCATGTGGTTGGTTTCTTTCTAAAGGCCCCCCATGTAGTTGTTTTCCTCCCACTCAAACCCTGTAATGAACTCCTATTTAATGATCATATTATATTCTCTTTTGTTCCCATCCCTTCTTTATCCTTACGACTTGAAATGTTTCGTCGTCCTCCTCATGCTGTCTTCTATCGACCCTGCTTAGGATGACAACAAGTCCTTAAGTACCAATGGCCACGAGGAGCGGAGCAAGAAGTATGTTTTGTATAACCCTTGTAGTTAATTTTATGTCTTACAAAACTCTTCCTTAATGTTTTACTTACTAAACTTGAATTTTTGAATCGCAAGAAAAAAGAAGAGCAGAAGCCGCAGCCGGGAAAAGAAGAGAAGCAGGAGTCGCGATGGCAAGAGGAGTCACGTCCGCAGGAGGAGCCGCAGCAAAGATCGGAAGCCCAGCCGCAGCAAGGAGAGACGCCGCAGCTGTTCCAGGAGCAGGGAGCGTGGTGGTCGCTACAAAGCTCCATTGTACGTAGCCATCTTTTGCTTTGGGTTTTAATCTTCATGTCACGTGTCCACACAGTTTGGAGAAACAGCACTCTTGAGTCTTTACCATAGTGAGTATGTTAACCTGAAGTAAAAGGTTCCCACTGTGCTCCTGATGAGTGAGAAAATGTCTTCCAGAGAATACCAAGTATGCAAAGGAGTTTAGCTGCCATCCCAATTTACATGTCTGTTGTGAATCAGCAGAGAAGATGAGTAGATTTCCCCCAAAACAAGGAATTTGTTGTAATGTGTACAACATTTACCCTTGTGTTCCCCATTGAAGCTTTTAGTATATATTTAGAATTAGTAGTAGAGTGAGTAGTCGTAGCTACTGAGATTAAAAACCTTGAAAACCTTGTTTTTAAATCACAGTTCTGGCCTGAAATTTAATGGTGGTCCCAGGGGGAAGACTGGCCCACCACTTGCCATCAAACTAAGGTTTCTATGATACTATTTTTGTTTTGTGTGGGTAGTTGCTTGTTCTGTGTATGACTCGGACAGGGAAAGTCTTTCCAGAAGTATTCATAGAAATTCTCTCTCAGCCATAGAAGGTCTAAAAGCCACAGTCCTTTCAAGAAAGACAAAAGCCCTATAAGGTAAGTTTATTTTCAGCCTTGGTAATTACGTTTCCCTCAACTGAATTCTTTGCTGATTATAGTAATTCATTGCTTGTTTTTGTCTTTTGCTAACAGACAGCCCATTGATAATCTCACCCCTGAAGAAAGAGATGCACGCACAGTGTTCTGCATGCAGCTGGCAGCAAGAATCCGACCACGAGACCTGGAAGAATTCTTTTCTGCAGTGGGAAAAGTCAGTGTTTGTGCATCTACAGTTCTACCTTGGTAGTCTATTCTACTTTGGATTTGGATTGACACCTCTAATTCCTATTGTTCTTCTTTAAAGGTGCGAGATGTGAGAATCATCTCCGATAGAAACTCCAGAAGATCCAAAGGAATTGCATACATTGAGTTTGTGGATGCTACATCTGTACCTTTGGCAATTGGCCTTTCTGGTCAAAGACTTCTCGGAGTACCAATCATTGTGCAGGCTTCACAGGTAACAGTCACTCTGAATGTTGAAAAATTACACAAGTTTTGCTTGTCGACGTTATCTAATCATAAATTGTCTGTTTGACCAGGCTGAGAAGAACAGAGCAGCTGCGTTGGCCAACAACTTACAGAAGGGCAGTTCTGGACCTATGAGACTGTATGTTGGCTCATTGCATTTTAACATCACAGAAGACATGCTCAGAGGCATCTTCGAGCCGTTTGGAAGGGTAAATACTACCATGTATTTTTTCTCACTTCATGTTATATTATGATTTTGTTTTTATTCATGTTGATGTTTCCTTTTTCACACAGATTGATAGTATTCAACTGATGATGGACAGTGAAACAGGACGATCAAAAGGATATGGCTTTATCACAGTAAGTTGTGTGGTCGAGTTGTTTTGGTGCAGAATTTCTGACATTACAAGACAAGCAGTTGGTGTCAAGCACCAGAAGCAGTTATTCATCTTCTCAAGAGCTTATTAGCTTTCCTCTTTCCCCACAGTTTGCTGATGCCGAATGTGCTAAGAAGGCTCTGGAACAGCTTAATGGCTTTGAGTTGGCTGGCAGACCAATGAAAGTGGGACATGTGACGGAGCGCACTGATGCCTCAACCGCCAGCTCCTTCCTGGACAATGATGAGCTGGAAAGGACCGGAATTGATCTGGGAACGACTGGTAGACTTCAGCTGATGGCCAGACTGGCTGAGGGTAAGGATGTACTCTTTGATCTGCTGTATAAATTTCATGCTGTTATGAAGTGAATAATGTCTTGTGGGATTTTTTTACAGGGATTAAAAATCTTAGATTTTTTATCTGTTAGGTACTGGTCTGCAGATCCCACCTGCTGCTCAACAGGCCCTTCAGATGAGTGGCTCCATGGTAGCCATGGCTGCAGCTACTGGTCAGTACCTTGATTTTTGGGTTCAGTAGATGTGCCTTTTAATAAGGCCTATGGGGTTTTCAATTAACATCCTTTTTTTTCAGCTGCTATGAACCCTGGATTGAGTTTTAACATCAATGTGCCCCCAAACCAAGCTTTGAATCTACCGTCACAACCAATTGCAACTCACTGTTTCCAACTGTCTAACATGTTCAATCCAAACTCGTAAGTAGCAGGAGTTAGCAAAATTACAGGTTTATAGAGAAAGTACTATTAAAGAGCATTTTTTCCTGAACTGCATTGCTTTCTTGCAGAGAAAATGATCCTGGTTGGGAAGTTGAGATTCAGGATGATGTCATTGAAGAGTGCAACAAACACGGTGGAGTCATACACATATACGTGGACAAGAAATCAGCTGAAGTATGTTTCTTCCCTTAAACGTTATCATTAATTACTATACTAAATGTGGAGCTTTATACTAATTTAATATTTACTTTGTCATTTATTTCAGGGTAATGTCTATGTGAAGTGTCCCAGCATTCCTGCTGCTATGGCTGCAGTCAGTGCGTTACATGGACGTTGGTTTGGAGGTAATTCTAACTTCTATACATCTTGATTTGAGGATTGTCTAAATTCTAAAGCAAAGTTCTGATAAGTATTAGGGTTGGGCGATGACTACTAAAGGCATCGGGGTGTGCCCGAAGCGTGAATCCGTATTCAGAAAGGCACGGAAAACAATAACGGTTGCCTGTTAAATTAAAGTAGCTACATAAAATGTCACTTTGTTTATTTCACCACATAAACAGAGTAAGGAGAGATGACTGAGGACAATGGCGAATGATTTGCAAAATGTGTGGTAAGTACTGCCGCTGAAAGAGTACGTGCGATCGCCAATCTCGAAAGTGAAACTAAAAAGAGATTGCATTCAAAAGCAGTTTCAATGCCAGGCATAATAGCTCCCTGATGCCTGCAATTTGTATACAGGGGTTAAAGCAAAAAAACTGGGGGCAGGGCAGCACATGCAAAGCATGCAATGACTGTGGCAACTTTAACATCTGAAAGGATACTATGGCAAAGTTATTGCTTGCTTTATTCAAACACACCGCTTATCGACACTAGGGGTGTGACAATACGCTTAGCTTACGAGACAAAATACCGATACTTGGTTCACTAGAACGTGCCAATATTTTACTATTTTTAAGAAATTTTCAATGACAAAATATTTGTCTTTTAAATACAAAAGTAAAACAATGCAGTTGTATTTAGAAATATTTGAACTAATCTAGGCCTGTAACTACTGATTATTTTGATAACGGAGTAATCTGATTTTTTTTGTAACAAACGGACCTCAGTGAAAAACAGGCTTTAGTATGACTATTTAGGCTATATATAAACTAACGATTAGGCAATAATAATTGGCTCAAATATAAAAATCAAAACCAATAAATTACATGATTGCATTGAACAACACTGTTAAAATAAATAATGTAATATGCCTATACATAATATGAACATAACCTTAACTTAAGTACATTATGTATTAAAACAAATACCTGCAGAGGGCGCCAACGGCCTGGTAACGTTTCACTTTACAGCGTGATTAAATTGTTTAAATCCATTTCATTTTAATATTTGGCCACATGCAGAAACCTTTATTTAGAAATTGCGATGTACAATACATGGCATATTTAGACATAAGTTGATGCATTCTCCTGTGTTGGCAAAGGCTTATAAATGATTTACGTTACAAATCTAGTGAGAATGCACAGTTTTTCCAGATGAACGTTGAGCAATTCAAGCTCACCGCATATGCAGAGGAAGAGTTTAGCCCCTTTCACACATACAGTACTGGTAAATTACCGGTAAGTTACCATTAATAGATCATGTGTGAACAGGACCTTTTCCTAAATTCCCGGTAAATTTGTTCTGGCAATCATTGTTTCATGGAGATGACATGATTACTCTGAGTTGTTTACAAAGCTTTGCTGCTTTTTAAAAAAAATTATATGTAAATATGCGCTAGATGGACATCTTTGACCATTGCGCCTGGCAGCTTTTTGTCACACTTCTCCATTCATCAGGGCTGCGACTCTGCAATTGGATACTATTATGCGCGTCTCGTGTTTATAAGAGCAAAGCATTCTGATTGGCTAGTAATGTTAATTTGGTTGAGAGTGAAAGCTTTGCTCCTCTCATACCATTGGTAGGCGAACTCGTGGATTCGAAACGAGATCCGGCACGGTGCTTTTAAGCCCGGAGTATAATTGCCCAATGATATACAGGTAACTGCGTGAGAAAATATTGAAATATATATATTTTCCTCCCATCTCGTATTTATTCTCTTTAGGGGTTCCGTAGTACACGTCATTTTCTTTCCGAACACGGTATTGGGATGTGGAGGGGAGGGGTTGTTTATCACAATGCTGGCTCAACATCGTGATGTCTATCAGCCATCGACGATGGCATCGTCTATCGGCCCAACCCTAATATGTATTATGTATTCTGTCTAGAACTGTTTGTATTATGGCCTGAATCATCTCACATTTCAATTTTATTTTCCAGGTAAAATGATCACAGCAGCTTATGTCCCTCTTCCTACATACCACAACCTTTTCCCAGAGTCAGTGCAGGCAACACCGCTTCTAATGGCCAGTCGTCGGTGATCAATCACCTCTGGAAGACTCAACTTTTTCAGCCTTGCTCTTTATAACTTTTGGACAATAATAACAGTTCTGCAAGCTGTGGCACAGTTGTTTTGCTTCCTTTTAAGTTGGTTACAAAACCAGTAAGGTTAAAATTTTCACTTGCGTAGTGTCCTTACAGGTCTTGGACTTTGAGAGAAGTTCTGTGGTGTAAAAAGTTTCCTATGTACAGCCTACTTACTGAATTTTGCTTCTTGATCTTTTATTTATTCGTACATTTGTTTTCCCCCTTCAACTTAAATCGTCTTTGTGATCGATCTGATTGGCATGTTTCTCACTCGAGGTGTACAATATTGACAGATACACAATATAAATGGCTTAGATTTAAACTGCAATTTTGATCAGACATGAACATATTCAACTTTTTAGCTCTATGAGCTGTGGGAACTAAATAGCTGACAAATCTTTTGTTAATTTAGAGACCATAAGGTTTAGAAACGTCTTGTTTTTCTAATCAAGATTTGATTTTTGTAAAGGCCTTGAAGTTCATTTCAAATAAAGCCAAGATAGCAAAAAAAATGTATAATTTCATTTGAACTGAATTCCTGTTTAAAGAAACCGCAAAAGAAGGGTTTTTTCTTTTTTGGGTTCCTGAGGTTTGCGGCTATATTTATTGGTTAATGAGTATAAATTAAACTGAAAAAAGAGGGGTGTCCAGAAAGTATCCAACCATATATTATGAATAATACGAGATGAGGGATGCAATAGGATGAAAATGGCTGCTGCTATGGACAACGGGTCACGACAATGCACCTGCCCATGCATCACATCTTTCGTGCAGAGTTTTTTGGTAAAACATCAACTCGCCCAACACCCCTCTCCCCCAGCCCAGATTTGGTGCCTTGCGACTTGTTTTCCCCAAAACTGAAATCACCTTTGAAGAAGACTGAGACGTCATTATCCAATGTACAAAGTTTCTTATATATTGTATCTTTAATAAATGTCTCTATTTTTCATATTACGTGACCGGATACTTTCCAGGCAGCCCTTGCATTCTAATAATCATTATTTAATGTTTTAAAAAAAAAAAACTTAAATTATTATTTAAAAAGTAAATCTGTAAGTACACTAACTATTAAAGTGGATGACTACTTTCTGGATCTACTATGAGGTAAGGTGGTTTTTTTATGGTAGTTCGTTAGCAGCATTTTCATTCCCGATCAGCAGCTCTGGACGTGCCTCGTAAATGCGGTTCAAGAGCTCACCGCTCCACTTGAACTTCATGTCTGCAAAAGCCCTGAAAGGAATCAACAGGCCCAATAACCTGTCATGTTTTACCACTGTCTTCCGCTCGGAAGCAGGATGCTCTGAAAGAACCTTTTGCTGGGTTGTGGTCATTGGTAACCGTGAGAGCTGACTACCTCCCATCATCCCCTTGTACCCCGAGCACTGCTCTGCTGTCACCCAGATTGGCCACATGAAGATCTCAGTCCACGTGAGCCACACAAGCAGTGCATCCAGAGAGAGCCACTCTGTGAGTGGTGTGAAACGAGCAAAAGGAACCCCAAAGTCCACCGGGGCCTCCAAGGAAATATCGTTATCCAGCCTCTTGAAAGTGTTTCTTAAAGCTGTTTGAAGTATAGTTTGCCAGCATCTGTGCTAACATAGTCGTTGGGATGCTTGTGCCATTGTAGCACTGGAAGTACAGGCCGTTCACTCTCCACTGCCTCCTCTATTTCAGTTTAAGTCTTCATTGGAAGTAGAGATACGGCTATGTAGTAAAAGGCGTTCACTAACTGCTTGTGCACAAGCAGAACCTGCGTGGCCATCAAACACTCTAAACACCATGCCTCGGCTCTGTAGACACGTTGCAGCACTCCGTTGGTCTTCACATGGGGAGTTTGATGGTAGGATATTACTATCAAACCCTTTTATTGACCCGTTATACCGTCCATCATAGCCATTTGGTTTTAAACTATATTCATTAGTCTTCAAAACATGGTTTATTTGTGTGAGCGACATCTCTTTTGCTTTGGCATTGTATTTTCTTCTGGGGTTTAGAATCATTGGTGGATTTGTGCAGACTGGTGTGCAGATTGTAGATTATAGAGTCAAATATCCCTGCACTGCTGTTTTCCATCTCTGTAATGACCACAGATGTCTAAAGTGGTGCACTGAAGTTGGAGACATTTATGCCAAGAGAAGTTCTGGTGGATTCTGAACCTGTAAATGTGTTAGGTTAAAATAATAATAATAAAAAAAAAACAATCAAACCAAAGTAAGCAATCAAGATTTACTGTGCAAAGAAAGTAGGCCTATACATAAACATATAACTAAGTACAGTTCAGCCATACTGTACAGTGGCAAAAACAAAATGATTGCATGCAAGTGCAGCTGTTACTAATGGCTCTCTAGACACCAAATGATTCTTTTTCAATAAATACTAGATATAAATGGAATTGTATACCTGTTAGAGCCGATGTGAATATTGTAAATAGTAGAAAATTTTAACTTAAGTTGAACCCTAAAAAACACAAATGTCATAATTATTACATAAAAAGTAAAGATTATGACAAAACGTCATTGTCATAACGTTACACTGAAATATTAATACCTAATTATGAAATCAAATTGAAAGAAGTTGCTTTTATTAATTTTCATCAAATTTTTTGGCATAAGTTCGATTTTTATGCAACGATTGTGTTTTTAATAATTAAAAACAATTAATTATGATTCTTCGTAACTGTAGCTTCATTTGATTATATTAGAACATGATGACGTAATTACGTAATGAAACAAACAACCACCGAATCGGTTCTTTAAAACGATCTGTTCAAAAGAACCGGTTCGCGGAAATGATTCGGACTTCCGATCACTACTTGTGGGAACATAATATAAACTAAAGACAAAAAATATGTATTTCATTAAACGCTGTTGATTTTCTCCAAATGGACTGGAGTGGATATTTATATTTCCAAGGACAGATGAACGAACCAGTTAGAGCAGCATTGTATTGGTTCATATTTACATTTTCCGGTAAAAGAAAGACATGCAAGGTTTAGGTTTCAACCAATAAACTCCGTAAACGTCACAAAAACCCGCCCACAAGTCACTCAGATAACCAATGAGAGTTATAATAACAGTCGTCCCGCCCCAGCTCTATGTGCGTCTTGTGTACGCAATAGCATTGGAGTGTGTTTTTGAGGGCTGATGACACTCTGTTCTGAGAAGGTAGTGGACATGTCGTCGTCTCTAAAGTTTCCCGAGTAATACGTTTGTTTATCTTTTGGTTGACGAAGAAGCTATTTGCATTATTTCTGTCATTGTTTATGTTGAGAACACTGTAATTGCATAAACGTGATGAACAGGACTCTATCAAGAAAACTTCTGGGCTCCATGTGTGGGATCTCCAGCCGCCGACTGAGCTTCGCTCAAAGCGCTGTCAACACTGTGCAGAAGCAGAAAGGTAGGTACAGTATAAGTAAATCTAATACTCTAGTCTAGAGACTAACAGTGAAGCAGTTGTATTTAGCTTGTGTAAGTTACTCTACAAGGCTGTGCTGATAGAAGTATTAGCAAGCTGGCATGTAAATGCTTTCTAGTATGGCTGTATTTATTCCAGTCACTATGTTGATGAACACGCCTGTCTTTTTCCACAGAGTTGATCAAGAGTAGGGAACTAGAAAAGGATGAACTGAGACCACTGTATATGGACTTTCAGGCCACCACACCCATGGTACCCATCTGCTGTAGTCATCCTAATTATACTGCCATGTAGATAAAGTAACTAATCAGACTCGTAAATCTAGTGCATGAGAACGTTTCTGGGATGTTTACATGCCATTGTTTTCATTGAAAAATATTCCAGGACCCAAGGGTTTTGGATGCCATGCTTCCCTATCAAGTCAATTACTACGGGAACCCACATTCCAGGACTCACGCTTATGGATGGGAGAGCGAGACCGCAATGGAAAAAGCGAGAAAAGTTTGTCTTTATTCTTCCTCCCATGTATTTATAAGAGAAGCAAGAACATTCTCTGAATTATTAGCATTCTCAGATAGCTGAGAGTTGTATTTATGAGTACTGAAGCATAATATTTTGGTTAAGTCAAAAATGTACTGTTTATGGAAGCACAAATGTTTATTTCCTCTTCAGCAAGTAGCAGATCTTATTGGTGCTGACCCGAGGGAGATTGTGTTCACCAGTGGTGCGACTGAGTCCAACAATATGTAAGTAAGTATGTCATTACTGTGAGGCAAGATTAGGAGAAAGTGGGACGCAGGGACACAAATGGCTAGGCATATTCTGAAATAAACGAATCTGTAAAGTTTATATAGTATGCACTGCTAGTAACTAAATATCTCTTGGTTGTTCTTTTATGTCTTGTCTTTTGTTTCTTTTTTTTAAAGGGTGTGGCTCGGTTTTATAAGGCTAAGAAAAACCACATCATCACCACCCAGACTGAGCACAAGTGTGTGCTGGACTCCTGCCGAATTCTGGAGGCAGAGGGTTTTGAAGTAACATATTTACCTGTGAAAAATAATGGACTGATTGATTTGAAGGTAAGCTTTCTTAAAGGGGAAATATCCAATTTCCATGCCAATTACAGCACCAATCAGAATAGCTAACGATAATGATATTACTAAACACGTTTTATACACTCAACTCCCTTGTTTGACAAATTGGTAGTCCTACATCAAACTAACTCTGCTGGTTGAAGTAATGTAATTTTATGGATGCTGGTAGATTGCAATCAGTGTGGGGAAGAAACTAGTTCTATGTAAATTAATTATGTAATTTAATTCCAAAATAGATGTACCTGCAATGTACCGGCACAGTTACTGAGAAAAAAATGGTATTTAAATTAGTTACTTATGAAAATGTTAACAGTTACAAATGGGGTTACATCTGAATATTCACACACACACACAAACACAGATTTAATTGATTTCTTTCCCAAATTGCATTGACTGCTCTAAAATATGAAACACCAATGTTTCAGGATTTTAGGAAACAGAATAGGACACATGCTTATTTGATTACTGTTTTATTTCCTGTTTGGTTTTATGTATATGCTTTATTTTTCCAAAGGCATTGGTAGATGGCAGTGTTTCCTGTCATAGCTGTGCAAAGATTTGA